GTCATTTCGAATTCCAAGTAAAATTTTGCGTTTTTGATGATGATCGTCATGTGACCAATACTTTTGGTCAGTATGTGATCATTTCGCAGCTCCAAGTCCGAACCATTATTTCTTTTTTATATTATTATTGGATCATTAATTATGATTAACTACGCAACTAAAAATTAATAAAAGTGCACTCGCAAATGTTCGTCGACTAATGATTTGAAGTCTGAAATGGGTTTTTTAACTTGTAGTAAATAAAATCTAAATATCGATAATGAAATCCGACCGTTCATATGACATGTAGATTTCCAGAGTATAATGTCGAGTTAACAATCACGGAAGAGCGACTGACTATTGATTCTAGAGCAGAGTGTGGCCATTCTTTTAACGCTAGACTTTTTTCAGTGTCGATGCGTAAACATTGATCCTTGATAATTAACCTGTCCTCTGTTCTCTACCGGGTAGTGGTTGGGGGTATGCTTATATTATATCAATACGCATCGGCACGAATAAATACAAAAGACAATTATTCTTATTAGATAAAGTCTTACAGGTATACTGATAATCTACCATTACGTATTTCAGAGCATAATAAAGAAACTAACTCTCGAACAAACTAAACCACTAAACTAGCCGAATGTACTCTTCCGAGATTACTAGTTGTCCATTTTATCAATGCTTCTTTAACCAACTTGTTGACACGATTTCTTGTATGATCAGCACTAATTTCGAATGACGCGATCAAAGAAAGTGGGACACTGTTATGCACACGTTCCTTATGCCAATATGCACCATAACAAATGTGTATTTTCTTCCAGAACTGATGTCACAATTGAATATGACTTTTGGCAAGCGCATTTTTTACGTTAACTAAGGAATAAAATATTGACGCTTTTTTTTTCATGGATCATAAACAACGCGTTCTCACCCACGAGCGAAGAATTGCTATGAATTGCTCGATATACAGTTATAAATATTCACGTTATTTACCCGTAAGTTCAGAGTTCGATGTGATGCAAATACAGTATCGTAAACTCATATTAATATAACAACCGGGGATAATAATAATAATTAATATTAATATCTATTAACAACGGATTACTGTTCTATTCTTCAAATTTGCGAGATGTCTTTCTTCTCTTAACTGATTACTCTTTTCATGCCTTCAGGTCTACTACTATTGTATAACCATATATGATGTATGCATTCAACAGGCATATACTACATCACAAGATTCTAATGGCTTGCATTTATAGCGCATACATCTGCATCTGTCATATGCTTCTCCATGCATTACGCGTATTAAAACCGAGATTGACATGCGACTCACAAAGTTTAAAGGCGTGCCGCATATTTTGGAAATACTATGGTCATAAAATCTAGACAAAGATCATGGAGAATGATATTTAGAAGTAGAGAGAAATGCAAGTCTTTTATAAAGGAATAGGAAAAAAAAACTCGTAAATATGAACCAACCAGCCAGCAAGGTTTCCTCAAATCCGTTCTGCTTGACCGTTCGAGGTCATGTCAGTGACGTTTAAATTCCGTGAAAAGCGCAACCGATAACTTGGAATATAATATTAAGTATAGGATAAGAATAATTAATTAACGCTTCGTTAATTAAAATATTCACGCGAATAATGAATGTAGCCAATAAGGGGAATATAATATATGATTACTTATCGACTGGGAAGGACTTCATTTAATTAATTTATGAAACAACGGCTAAGATAATACAACAACAGTGCAATGCTCGTCATTCCAGCGATCATATAGTAGCATTATAAATCATAAGGATAACAAAGGACACGCGATGCCTTACTATTATCGTCTGTTTAATTGGAAGCTCTTACCGCAATTAGAAGGAATTTATTGGTAGATTACAATAGCTCTCTGAATGAAGAACTTGCAATATTCAGGTCTTGGCTGTCAGATTGATAAGTTATTAATTACTGACAGCGTTCGTTTTGTGCATAATAGATAAATATTACTGCTGATTGTGCCTCTCTTCTTGAGTATTCGGCAAAAAGCGAAATCGGGAAGGTACAACATTATTTGACCTCAATTAAACGACTAAAAAGATAAGACAATCTTCCTGTGGCGTTGCTCTCTTGGTCTGGTTTTGTGGAAAATGAATAAATATAATCCTGCAGACATATTCGTGATGTCTGTGTATTCCCAATGTCTTACGAAAATGCCCCACTACCTCCAAGTTTGGCAAGAAATTGATTCGGAGCGTGCATTGCCGCGTACGTTTGAGTAAAAAATGGTTGGCAAGGTATATTATATAGTATGTATTCTACTTATACAATTAAACAAAATATATATTAATCACCAACCATCTAATCAAAATCATCGCTTTTTTTTATACATCCAAATTCATTACGCATTAGTACTCTCATTATCATCACCAATTTCAACTCCCCAACCGTCATTGACCAATCCACGCAATGTCAAACCTCGGACGCTCAAATTTTCTCCGTTATTCTCCTCCAAGGCTCTTTCAAACACATTTTGCAATTCGTCCTCGCCGCCTTCTTTCTCCAATTCTTTCTCCAATTCTTTCTCCAATTCTTTCTCCAATCCTTTCGCATCATCAGGTCGATCATCACTCTCAGGTGTGACTGGGAATGGTTTTTGTACCCCTGTTGTGCTCGAAACTGTCTCCAATGATGAAGGCGAACTGCGGACGGTGGGGTAGGGTTTGCTGACAGATGTTAATGCTTCATCAACACCAAAGGAAGAGAATTCAGATCTGGTCAATTGGGATTCAAATTGATAAAGTCGTAATGCCGTTACCGCTTGCACGTGTTGAAGTTCTACTGCTATGTCCAAAGGAATCTAAGAATAAAAAATTGAATTGATATAACGTAATAGTATTCGAAATGTTATTTTCTTTTCTCTCTGCGCCCGAACAATTCATACCTTCCCGTTCTTATCTTTCAATGCTACATTAGCATGTCTCTTCATTAATGTCAATAACAATCGCGCATTATTTGTCGCCGCGGCATGATGCAAACCACTCCATCCGTCATAGTCGACTGCGTCAATATCACAAAACCACTGTAGTAAAAATTCTACTGCCACATCATCATTGCAAAGTATAGCTTGGTGTAGGGCAGTGGTGGAGTTGCGCTCGTGATTTTTCCAATCGACATTTGCACCAAGGGCAAGATAACGGAGGGCATAGTAAAGATCAGAGTTGGACATTGATTTCCAAAAGGCCTTTTGGATTAAGCCAGAGTTTTTATCATAAATATTAAACATAGCGTATAATGAGTTTCAAGAACGAACTAATACTCAAACTATTGCTTATAGGTTGATGACTTACCAAGTCTATAGATTCTGTTTGATTATTATCCTTGGGCGCCAAGAATTCTTTCTTTACGTACTTTGCAATAATAAACTTCTCCTTCTCTGACCTATTACAACACATTCTCTATATCATTTTCTTTGTTATCAATGTGCTTACTATTTCTCTTCTTTCATACCTATCTGAAGCAGGATTAGCTATAGGCACTCCGCTGGCACTAGTGATATTGGCTTCGAATATCCTGTTTGTCATTGTGTTGCCGAGTCTTAACATTACTTCGATTGCTTCTGGTTCCCATTTGTCAAGGGACAGGGAACGCACTTTGCTAACGTGTACTCCAAGACTACGGTGTATGCCTGAGCACTCAATGCAGAGTAGTGTGCCGAAATTTGCACAGGCCCATTGAGGATCTAATTGAATGGAATTAGAAGTACCAGATTGAGACGAGGGTTAAGAGGGAAGATGAGACAAAGCGCGAGAACGTGAACGGTAAAGTCAAAAGTAAATAGAGGTTTACCTGGAGCTTTACAATCCACACACAAGTCATTCCCACGCAATTCTTTAATTCTTTGAATCGATCTCCGATTACTCGAATATCCATTGCCGTTAGTGTCATCACCACTAGTAGGTGTTGACCCGTTGACGGAGCCTCCCTAAACAGGAATACTTACGCATTCACTAACATCGAACGCGGAATGAAGTAAACAATTACATTTCACGTACATTCAACCGACCAGCATCACTTTCCACAGGAGACGGCAGCTGACCAGAAAAGGCTTCTTGGGCAGCCGTCTTTAAGCACCTTATCCAATCTTCCATTTCTTCCTCATTTTCTGCTTGGAGAAGATATGACCTATATAATAGCATGTTGCATTATAGTCTTCGTATGTGAAATCGCAGATTGTTAATAGTTAAACACGTACTTCCTAGGTGATATTATTTCGAAACAAAATCTTCTCTCGGAATTATTGACGGGTTTAATATGACAAATCCTCAGATTAACAGAACTTGTTTCTTCGTCATCTTTCGAACCCTTGTACCAGATAACGGATTATTGATATATATTCATTTTCACTATATTAGATTCTTTTTACGCGTGAAGAAAGGGATATGACACTAAAAGACTCGCCTCGCCTATACAAAAGGTTGCTCTTGACAACGTACCTTCCCCCCACCTCGGCCAACAAAGGTAAGCGCTTCTCCATCGACGGTTGTGTATACACGAACCCATGATGCCATGACTCTCTGGGATCCCTTCTTGAACAGATATCCTGACTTTGTTACTGACGTTGAATTTTCTTTAAACGTTGGAGATGACATTTCTTTAGCAGGACGCATTGGATTATAGGTTTCGTGCGCCGTCTGGATGGTTGGTTGGAATTGTGAGCGATGGATAAAAAAGCATTAAAATGATTCTAACGGATACCTCGAGAAGACTCTTTTTGAGTTCTTGCGACAGTTGTACGTCTTTATCATATTGTGTTCGCGCCTAATGATGAAGCATGTTATCTATAGAGCCTAACGACTATAATGAATCAATAACCGTTGAATACCTCATGAAGCGTCTCTATCACCAATGTATAATTGACACAGTTAATGTATATTGACTAATAAAATAAGCACTGAAGAAAAAAAGTTACTTACTCGTTACATCCCTCATATGTGGTTCTAGATCTTTCATAGTTTCGTAATTTTGGTGATAGAATGCCGATTCAGTGAACATTAATGCCAGTATCTAATAAGAATAGCACATCACTCAATTGATGTTGATTCACACAACCAATACAACAACTATCATGAACAGCCAACTATTTCTCACATATTCCGTAAACTCAAATTTCTTTTTCTGTTCCAGCTGATTGATCTTTATGACGTATTCAAGGTATCGACGATGAAATTCACGTCTAGTGTCGGTGACTTCCGTCGATGCCTACACGAATGTATAATATTAGTAATTAAATACATTAATATGATACGTGTATATTATGCATACATATATGTAAGTACCATATAATGGCTCACTACAATCTCTGCCTATAAATAACCAACCTCCGCAATTTGTTGATCCTTGGCTTTCTTACTCATATACCTCGCAAGTGCACCGTCGGCCTCATGGCTCGACTTCTCAAAGTTCTTCCTAACTTCCTAGGATGTAAACAATTCAGTAAATACCAATAGACATAAATAAGCATGTTATAATAAACATATCAGCTGTACTGATAGTGGAGATAACTAATTCAATACCTTGAGAGGTTGGATCTCATTCTTGACAAACGACTCGAGTGGACTAATGAACATGTCACTCATATGTGAATGCTAATAAAAAGAAAAAAGATTGTAGTCATTTCCTATCGACATGTTAGGATAAATATCCAAATAATATCATGTCAATTGTAACTAAATACTTACAAGAATCTTTCGACTCCTTTCAACTTCTTGAAGTGATTGGGAGTATTTAATCAGCACTGATTCTTGAGAAGTGAAAATCAAGATATTAGGCATTAGACAAATAATCAAAACTCTTTGATGCATAATAGCCTTATAATCTCACTTAATGAAGAATCTGGTTGTTGCTTAGCAAAATTCTTGAATTCATCAGCAAACTGCAACTGTTTACTTGTATATTCTACGATAAGACCAAAATTTTCGTTAATTCGTTTAAACCATATACCGGTTAACAAAAGCTCAAGCTGTACAAACCAGTAGCAAGCTCCACACTAGCTTTAGCCAATCTCACCAAGTTCCTAATCGTACTTTCAAGACCGGATATAGACTCTTCGCACGCAGCTAGTTCTTTACGAAAGTACGGTGGGTCTTCTTGACACAGACGGAGGTTCAATGGGGTTGTCATTTAGATAAATAAAAGGGAACAAAATAGGTAATGGATGTACAGAGAAGAGCAAAACGGTAGGGGTATAAATAGTGTTTGGTAATATACAATCAATCGGTCCTCCAACTCTAAATTACACCTCAGATCCAATATCTGGCCGAATATCCTGTTAAATACTAAGATAACAAGCCTGCATTAATAATCTGATGTTTATCTAACGTCGCACTTCTAATCACTCTCCACAATTCACATCAAACTTCGCTATTCCTCAGATTCGCCTTTATCTCGTCTTACAAGGACAAATGCGTGCTCCCGCTTATACCCTACTGTCTCCACCTCTCTCTATACTATCCAATAAATAAATTTTAAGTTCCACTACAGCAGATATATGACATGTCTGTCCTCTGCTTCCCACATTAGGCCTCAAATAATAAGAAAGCAGAGTGTTTTTGGATATCGAGAAGGTACAGTGGAAGAAAGCTCGGATTGGAACTAACATTTTCCCGTACAGCTCCTCAGGCATTTAGAGAGACTGCTAGTTCTGGTTACCAAAGATGTCCTCATAGGAAAGCAAAAGCATGTGAATTGTAGTGGTTTAACCTAGTCACCCTTCGTCTGCTGAACCGCCAAATTTCCAGAGTTTACTCATTTCTTATAGTTTTATCTACATAGATGAACCAACACTGACCTTATTTACGGGATCTGTTCAAAAAGCAGAAACTTATGAACGATAATTATTACTATTATTATTATGCGATCGCATTCGTTAAGAGAAAGAATTAATGATGTGGTTACACGGTCCAAACTTTAATACTATCATAATACTAATTATTGTCAACGCTGATTATGTTTTTGATGGGCTTCTATGTTTCTTTTTTGTTTCTGCTTTTTTCAATTATTCTTCCTCACTTGTTCTCCCAAGATTTATTACAACATTGGCTATATCTTCAAGCTGTTTTTTGTCATTTAGATTAACTCTTTTTTTGTCTCTTAATTACTTTATTCTTTTAAGTGTGTAAAGTGAGACATCCCTTGTTTACTATGTTTTAGGTATAAACTATATTAACATTACCATTTCAACATATTCCCCAAAGGAATTATTTTTCATCTTTGAAATTTTCAAGAAATACCATAACAAAAATAAAATTACTAAGATTATAATCTAGTAACATATATATATTTATATATCAATTCTTATTTCTTTTATTTACGCTTTACAAATTAAAAGCGGGAAAGGTTTTACGATATTTATTTAAAAATTAAACAGAAAAATTAATGACCGTAAGAACAAATTAAAAAGTGGTGAAATTATGATGGTAAGTTATGCTATTACTATATATTTTATTCGTTGCCAGTATATGTTGGTCTTGGACAAGTAATATCTTTGATCCAATGGAGAAGGTGTTAGTATTAAAATTTGATCTCTTTGGTAATTTCAGAAACACTTGCCTTTCTAGTTCTTCAGATTAAATTCCCAACACCGAATTAAGATCTAAGTATTGAAAGCCTTTTCCATTTTCATAGCACTGAGCTTTGTTTAATCCTGCTGTACTTGATCTTTTCACAATCTTAACAATATGATCCACGCATTCTACTGCCGTTTTGCGGTATAGTTTCTTAATTAGTCCAAAACTACCATCACACTTGAATTTAGTCCTCTTTGTGTCAGCAAAGATTCGTAGTACTTACACAATAAGCATTCAACTTAAACCCAAACCCCTATGTCCTGTGCCATAAAATTTAACTCGATATATTCGTATACCCACAAATTACTAAAATCAAATGGTGACATTATTTTATTCTGCCCCCCCCCCGCGTTATCGCAAGTCATCTTCAAATGCTTTTTGCCTTTATTTAATCGCTTAATCCCATCGAATACCATGCTCAGCGTACCATTAATACCCTTGCCAATAATTTCGTCTTCATCAAGAACATAATGAGTTTGTTCGCGTACTGCTTCATCCTGAATGCCAAATAAACGCACTTTACGCAGACTTAGACAATAAATTGTTGATCGGAATGGGGTGTGCGAACGTTTTGCGCTCAATCGTAACTGTAATGAACAGTAACGTCAACACTACAATAATCAGCTTTACCTCTTGTTATAAAATGTTTATCTACCAATTTCCTCTGTTGTTCTGCTAATTTCGTATTTCTGTTATAATAATTTCTTTCTAATTTAGCTTTAACCAAATGTTCTTTATATTTTTTTCAATAACTCTTTTGCTTTTTCTTCCTCACGAGCGTTATACTGTAAGCTATTCCGAAAATGTTGGCATCGCATAAATCTGTTCTCGGACTCATAATTTGAATATAAGGCGTAATTAGTGCCATACCATTTTCGGAGTAATTCCTAACTCTTGGTGAAATACTAGCACTGGTATTTTCGGTGATCTAAATCTCGAAGGTCTAAGTAAAGTAGATTTGGGAGCAAATGGTTTCCGTGCTGGGGCTTTTTTCTACTAGGTGGTGAAATGCTTGTAATTTTTGGAGAATTTGTTGGTCGTGTTGTCATTTAAACTCCTTTTTTAACTTTTGAAAATTAGTTAAGAGGTTGCAAAATGCGTCATATTTTAATAATTTCAACATGCTGTCGTTTTCGAGGCCTGCAATAAAATCACGATAGACTGACTTATAGCTCGTTTCGGCTAGGCAATAATGTAAGCGATTGAGTCGATTAACATTTTTACCGGGACTTGGCAACCGAATTTCAGCATAGTTTTCGAGAAATTTTTTCACGGCAGCAGCAACGGTTATATCAATGGATATTTTAGTTTTCCATCGCGGCATTCGTTTTATGTTACCATGAACGCGCGGTATTACATCATTCGTCGTTAGGTGATTTCTGACATTTTCGAAAGGAGTGCGACCAATTCCTAACATATTGAGATACGTTTTCTGACAAAGAAGCGTATTGCGATCTCAGTAGTAAAATGTTCGCTTATTAGTTTTTTTTAAGACGTCGGCTGGCCGTTATTTCTCCACCATTCATTGCTCTCAACTGGGCCATTAAAATATATCTTGTTCCGATCTATAGAGAGGGCTTGAAACGCCTTACGTAACTCGGCAAATCCTTCTCTCGGAATCATTTTCGCTGCAACCACATTTGCGACCTATCTCCAAGAAACGCATGGCCTTTTCATATTCAACTGAACCATTATAATTGTAGCTTTCCATATACGGGTAATCCTATATATAATTCTAATCTATATACGCTTTTTTTTCAAAAGAGTAAGTTCGGAACTAACAGACTCTTATCAATAATTTCATCCTTCTTCAAATCGAACGGTTACAGTAAATTATTTAATCTAGCAGTTTGTAATGTAATTGATATTTATTATATTTCGTCCTTGAAGTAGCAGTAGTGAGATTGATGCAATTATATTCTTATATGTGTCGGTTTACGTCTTTCTGTTGTAATTTGCACTAGCAACATTTCGGTTCGACCGGTGAATCGGTCGGAGGTCACTTTTTAAAGTATAACTGCACTAGGCGTACCATCGAAAGCTGGGTTCCCGCATTGCAACACGACCGAAAGTCACAATAATTTACTCAAAACGATTAATATACGAATATATTCTCATTCAAATCTTGTGTCTAGCGCATTGCTTAAAGTCATATTTTTGGAAATACTCGACCCTAATTATAGATTTATGAACGAATCATATTTAAACTCGATTGTAAGACAGGAGTTTGCTTCATGTATGCTAAAACCTTACGACATTTCCACTCACGCACTCCATCACATCAAAAACATGTCTCACTGACGCAATGTCATCCTCTGGTAGGAGGTCCATGGGTCAATCTTAGGCCTATTTAGAATACGCTCTATTCCTTGTATTTCAGAATTATTTGGCTCTCTACCTCCTATAGCTGTTTTGAGATTGCACCGCTTTGTGAATGGAAAGTTTGATATAAAACAATTCTGGCATCAAACGTCCGTATTATCGGAAATCCGAATTAGTTGATTGTCTGTGATGGTACCAAGAGCGATTCAATTAGTACTCGTACAAAGTCCACAGATATATCGACTCCATGATACTAATACCCAATAAATTGAACGTTTTGGTACCTAGTTAGTGCAACGATAGAAGCAACGCGAAATTCATCTCAGCAATCAGGTTCACTTTAATTTTATGGTTGTACTTTTAGAATAGTTCTCTATATTCTAATGAACGATTTGAAGATACATATTTATTCTTCCAGAAGTTTTACATAGAAGACAGAGCTAAAGTGCAACCACTTTCTGGGCCCTGGTTACAAATTCGAATCTTGCTATCGAATTTGCATATACTTTGGCCTTAGGATTATTATTTTAATTGTCACAACTCGCGTTAGTTAGAAAACTTTCCCGACCGATAGATTTTAACAACTAATCAGAATCGATGTATACTCGAGGTTAAATGATAATCTATCAGAAGCGTATACAGCACGATATTGAGGAGTGAAGTATTATAAAATCTATTTACAGGTCAAGTAGACTAAGCATTGATGGGACAGCTGAAGACTCTCAAACGCTCTTCCAAAATGTAGCGCCATGACAATGTCTCAATGAAATATTAAATTCTTATATGTAAAGAATGAATCATACCAATCATACAGAATTTTTGCAGAAGTTGTTCGCTTTTATTGGTAATGGTTGTTTGCTTATAGAAAAGAATGGCATAACTGAAGACTATATATATAATAACACAATACACACATCAATCCGTTCACTTCAAATACAAAACCTTCTGCAGATACTCAACATCATTTTCTTCAGTAAATTATTTATGAGGTATGTATTATTACCTGCGTTACTTATACTAGCGCGTAAACTCCTAATACATGGAGAATTCCCATAATTACTGAATTCAGATACTGATTTGCATTAATATTAATATTAAACAAATATTATTTAAGTTCAACATAAATTTTAACTTGGTCAATCGGTGGCGCTAGCCTATGTTCCTTGTTTCGTACAAAACCCCAATAGTGGATAGGTCAGTAACTGTAATAAATGGCGGATAAGGAAACAGTATTAAAAAAACTTCTATCCATAGTAATAGCCGTAATCGTGTGACTAAACATCTGATGGAAATACACTAACTTGAGGGTTATTTAGAAGCCATGAAAATCCCATCCGTACATCGATATTAAGTTAAGCGTAAAAAGACGCGTTTTATTCTCGACATGTTCCTATGTTCTTAAGTTCTATGACCTTATGTTTCGATAACCTAATGAAACGTCTTGATGATACACGAAATTTGATTGTGTAATAAATAAAAGATTCGGTTATTTACGGCGAAGAAATACTAGCGAAATCAAGGGAATAATTGAATTAGTAATCCCTTCGCCGACCGATAGACAACTTGCCTACGATTGTGGATACCTTAAGATAGAATGACAAACCGCTAGCGTAATTGAAAACGGGTTACCTTGCTAATACTTAAAAATCCCGAATATATCTTGGCTTGGTTAAGGTAACATATTCAACGTGTATTGGCGTGATTGTCAGGTTATATACAATAAATGAAGTAGATTATTATTGAACTGAACCATATTACTACGTTCTATTATATACTTGCTTTCATAAGATTGATATGTTATATTGTATAGGCTCTTCCTTTGCCGACTCATCTATAAAGAAGTATATGTGTATCCAACTCTTAATCATTTATTGTGTTCGTCGTCATCAAAATTTTTACTTTCGAATTTTTCTATTAAGTATAGGCTAGTCTAAATGCGCCTGGAAGTTCGATAATTAATATAAATAACAGATGTGTAATAACATGAGTACATGTCTCGCAAATCTATTCCATTGCTCACCTCTCATATTCAGCATGAAAATATCTCTGTAAAGGCAGTCACTCCGTGTCCACTCTGACAATGAATTTACCACCACCTGACAGACTGTCGGTGAGATAATGGTTAGTAGAGACGACATCATTATATTGATTCAAAGTCATATTTCAGACACAACATTTGACGATATAACCATCCCTTGTATATCATGGAAGTCAAACAATCATCCTATGACCGTAATCCTCAATTAATCTAATTTGCGTTCATGATAATGAAGAAAATACAAGCCGTGTTACGTATACGTTTTTATATCACCCAATCCACGTGAAAAAAGCAACTCGTATGCAAAAGAAAAAAATTTTTTTTTCCCCAGCCCACATTACGTATCATAAGTATTGTCGCTGCTGACCATCTACCGCAAACACATGATTTGTTTCATCAGCTATCAGTATACAGAGGAGGCTCGGTATTTTTACATGTGTTTCTTGCATGCGATGGAGTTTATCTGAATGTATTCTAAATGCAATATTGTGTAGTAGTATGTAATGTTGTAAGTAATATGCAGTGTAAGCATGTAAGCGTAGGAGTCGACTAAACAAAATGTCTGCTGCGGGGAGATTATAATAATACCAATACTACTAATACAACAATAGCAACATATCAATGAGTTGTGACAATTACATTATCAGTTATTATCATTGCATTGTTTGTTTATTGTTGTCTTTTACAATTGTTAACGGATGCTTGCATCGTCGCTTTTCCTTTTACGTGCATACATTAGCCTCTGCTGCTTCATTAACTATCCCATCGCAGATGCATACTTCAAACTTAGATAATCATCTTTCATAAAGTGCTACTCTATTACATATGTTGTATTCGGTTGGCTGCTCGCACCAAGCGGGGTTCATTCTATTGTTCATCTGATACTTCCAATGACATCGTCGATTCTTTCATCAATTGTTGTCTTCTGCAGCAGGGTAAACATTAACCGCCACCTCCACACATGTCTACATATCTCACAAGTTCATTTGTAGGAGATTGTGCGTCTGTTTATCGAATACGCACAATGAATGAAAAAAAATTTTTTTTTCTTTTGTTACAAATGTTGAAAACAGGGAAAAGAGTCGGTATTGTAATGGTAGGGATATGTTATTTCTCAGCCTGGTACCGTTAATGATTGGGCGAATTGAGTTGTACACATCGTTTGTCGTTTTTGACATTTCTTTTGACTTTCACACATGGTTGACGAATGCGAAGAACTTATCGACATATTGCAGAAAGAGGATACAGATGAATTGGTGATTACGTTATTTCTTGCTATACGTAGCAGACAACATTTTTATTGAGTCTGCTACTATCTCCTACAAATTCTCCGTTCTCGTCTCTCTAGTGTTGCGGATTATGTACTAGTCCGTTATAGTATATGTATGAATACCGCCATAATGCTTTCTATTGTCCTTTAAACGATAATTTCTATGACGTCATCTGTGCTGCCTTTTTTAACTTTGACGCAGGGATCTCCACACCGACACCATTATGCACTTCGACAGGAATGTAACACCGATCAATAGAAATATTTGATTAGAATTAGATGACAATGAACGAGACGACAAGCCTGCGATTAAACCGGTGTTGTCAATAGTAGCGTTTTTTTGCTTTTATTTTCAAACTGTCAACAATTTAGCATTAGAAAGTTAATTTTATCTAGTGCCACTCAACAACTTTTGAATATTCTCCCCTCTCACACACAGCTGTTGAACGATAACAATTCATCAATACAACAGCTTCTTTGCAAGCAAAGTGATTTTGACACTTTTTAATTCTGTACAATGTATTTATTTTCATGTTGTACACATAACATGATATCATTTTATGCAAGTCTTAAAAAGTATAGCACAGATATAATCACACTAAATCCCCCACGTATATACACACATCACATATATACAAACATACATCTACGTACACGTGTATCGTATGTATTACTTTTATTCTCGAAAACCATACCAACTCATATTCTCTTGCTCACAACTGAATGACTCGTCTTTCTTTTGTCTCTCTTGGGTCCATCCAACTTGCCGGATTTACATTTCACAAACCCACGTGCCTAAAAACAATTACTATTTTAGTCTAATTGCGCTGCGGGGTACAGATTCGGTAGCAAACCATATCAACATCAACCCCCAAACGGTCCAACACCTCATTTCCATTTCTACACCGCTAACGATATACAACCGGCTCCGTTTTTTTCTAATTATCTCCATTCCCATAACTTATCTCCTTCTGTCCACAATCTCAAATTTTTTCATTCTCAACCTTAAAAATTGCAGCCGACGCAGGAGTCTTTGTTATTGTAATACAGCTCAGCCATGCCTGCGAATATGCTTTACTGCTATACGCTGAATGTCGCTGCGAGACAAATCATCGTCGTCTATTATATTAAGAATAAAGACATGCACACAACTATATAAACGTCTGGCTGTCATTTCTCATGTTTCCTCGAAGCCCGTCAACCGTAGTTGAAGCTTTCGTACGCTGTTCGAACTATTCCCTATCTTCATATAATGACCCATTGACGCAACGTTCTTCCCTGCCGCTATCCCCATTATACATTAAATTTTCAAGAATCACCATATTGAATACAAGTAAAAAGATCTCAAGCAATATAAAACATTAATTCTATATAATATAACAATACATCTGTACATTTGATCACGACAATTAAAAATTTAAGAAATTATATCAATTATACAATCATGAGTCTATCTGTAGTTAGCACACAAACGGAAGCCCAGTACAATTTGGACAACGGCAAAGCGCCAGCCTACAGTGATTACAAACAATACATTGAAGTCGACTTTGAATCGGAAGACGAAGGGGTAAGTTGGTGAATTTGTAAATTTTGTAATAATTGTTAACTTTTATCGCATATCTTACTGAAACGAAAATCAAAATCACTATATATAGTCTTACAAAGATAGTGCGATCACAACTGATTACTCCTCAGACGAAGACTATTCTGATAGAGACTACGAGAGTGATAACATTGGGTAAATGATATAATAAAATTAGTTACCTGTTTTTTCTCCGGAAACACATCATTTTCATAACACAAACGATATCATGATTATAGTTCGAGTTCTAGATCATCATATCAAATGGATATGCAAGAGTATTCAAGCGAAGATGAAAGTATCTATGATGACTATGAAGAAGAGATGCAAGACCAAGAATTAGCCGATATCATCGAAAAGGTAAAGAAGAAAAAGCTTACTAAAATGACTTAGGAAATAAGTTCTCATGGAATGCCCGATTTTAAAACTGCAGAAGGAACTCCTCCAATCTATGATTGAAAAAGTCCAACTGGCTACAGAAGAACAGGAGCTTGAAATACAAGAGAAAAAAGAAGAGCTTGAAGAGTTATACGAGACTTACTACAAATTAGAACAAGAATTAGAGGTAATTGACAAGTGAATAACAGGGACACGATTCGCTATCAATGGGCCGTTTAGAACTCATCTCTTTGTTAACAAACCATTCTCTGGCGTAATTATTAGATTCCAAGGAGTCGTTCAATATGGTTCGGATGTCTTGTCCTGAATCTTCTTCTCCCATTTCTAGTCGTCGTTTTCCTGACCACTTATTCACAAAATGCTGAGGATACTGCGATCCACTAAATAGTATCGCGAATTGACATTCCCAAATTTTCTTCTTTTAACGGAAGATTCTTGTTCACAGCTTTTTTATTTTCTTTTTTCTTTTTTCTTTCTCCCTGTTTTTCTCTAATTTTTTTTATCTGTCCATCCAGGCTTTTCTTCTCTTTTACTCTCTCTTCTCTCTCCTCTTTCTTATTCTTCATAACGTCCTAATGTCATTCAACGGATCGTCTACTCTCTTTTCTCTGTAATTATTTTTCGTTCCGCAGAGATTTTCGACGTCTTCTTGACCCGAACAATTCATTTAGCTTACTGTTTGGCCATTAAGTCTTTTATGCTATTTTTACATCTAACCCAACGAATTATTATGCACACGTTTCTTGACAAGACCACACTTTATGACTTACCTCCCGACGGGACTTTGTAAAATTTAAGCTTTATGTTGTCTTTTTTTCTTTTTCTTTTCATTCGCTGGACCTCATCGTTTCTTAAGAACTCGCTCTATGACCTTGATTCGAATGCCTTGTTTTATTAAGAGTATGTTGCATTATGTACGTTTTTCCGGAAACTTGATATGTTAATACATCTTGCCTAAGCAGATGAATATATGAATATGTTTTTTCTTTGAAGCCAAACAGATTACTACGCGTAGAATTATTTTCGTATTACTCACTTTTCATTACGGAACCACAGCGTTCTTGCTTTAATTTATGTTCGCATTCTTTTTCACGTTTGAATCCTGTTGAATTCGTTTCTTTTCCCCCCAATTCTTTTAACTTGCGAGAAAATAAGTCCTGGTCGACTTATTATCGCGCGCTTCTTCAAGCAAATTCCTTGTTCTATCATTTCCCCCCCTTTTTTTTCCTTTACACAAAAAGCCAGAGTATTTAATTAAATAAATATAAAAAACTTACTTATCCCAAGATTCAAATTTCTGCTGCAAAATCATAGATAAATGAAAACTCGACTATTATTGGCAATCTTTAAAAACATAACACCACATCAGTTTGCATAAATGGCACATCTCTTCAACAGAGCATAGTTTATTTTCTCAATCGCGCGTGCAAGACAAATGCTTCGGTAAGAAGAATGTGCATTATCTTGTCCGCATATTTTACATCGCATCATACACCAGGAATCTCTCTGGTACTCATCTTAATGCTCATATGTAGATGCTTCCAGATAAGACATCTTTAATTAACCATCAGGAAAAGCTATCCACCGACACTTTTGATTAGCTTTGCTAAATTGAGATCAAACAACTCGCTACGAATGGGCATCTCTGGTGCATAGAAAGGATTCTTCATTACGTAATCACTGTAAATGTCATATGCTCTGCGTAATACATTATCGATATTAGGATGGTTTGGATCGGCAATAATTAAAAACTTGGTACCTACAGAGGGAAGAAAAGTACAGTAAAGAAACGAACAAGTTTGACTCCACATGTCATGAGAAATGAAATACGCATGCGAACCTGTTAGTGTTTGGTAACAACAGAGTTTGAATGTGTCTGCTTCAAGTACTTCGAGGCCTGTTGACGTAACATTGCGAACGGGCGATATCTTAGAAGTTATTGCATGTACACTAGAAAAAGAAGAGAGAAATATGGTTTTGGTCTAGCGGTCTAACTATTTCATTGATGTAGAGAGCATGATGTTAAAGAAATTATCACCTGTGAAAAGTTCCCGCTAGCACAAGATATTCATTAGAAGTAAGCTTGGCTAGTCCCTCATTGAAATCTTTTTGATATATTAAACCACCAGCTTTATTTATTATGTATACTGAGAATATCATAATTTATTTCTCTGTCCAAGTTCTGGTGTCAGACATTCTCGGTGGCTTATACGTCAATTCACGTGAATTAATGTCACACAACCCAATAATCGAGAAGGAGATGTAATAGTAAGGATTTTCGTAGTGTAAAGTATTATAATTAGGCATACCGCAACGAAAAACGAAATATCAGCAATTACGGACAATATACCAAGTCAGGTACAAATAACATACGCTATCAATGTCTTCCCTGTAATATGGTGATAAAACAACAATCATTGGATGGGATTTTAATCAATTATACTTTTTTGGTAGATGACAATGCAACAACTAGAATTTTCTTCTGTCACATGTTTGTCTACAATTTCAGATTTCAAACTGTTGTTGTTGTGATACGAATATGTGGTGAAAAGGAAATAGTCTAAATTCTGTTGGTGCGCTCCAACAGAATTTAGCCTTACATCAAAGAACGAAAAACGAATTCTAGTTCGTCATTAAATACTGTTGTAGAACCCAAGACTTTCCATTGCTTCGTATTAATCGTTCTCTCAACCAGTACATAATATTTGCTGCTGTATCAATAGACTCTTAACTTAATTGGATGTTACTTGGCTGTACATTACCTTCTCCATTCTCTTATATTCGAGTATATTGATATATTCCCATCCTTCGTTTGAACTTTTAAGAATGAGTCTTTCTTTGACAGACCGACTCGTAGAACTAAGCAAAGCACGGAATAATGGCCTTATTACAGAAGAAGAATACGCGGCCATGCGAGCTCGCCTGCTCGATTCCTTTGCCACAGTCACTATACCGCCTCGCACAGCTTCCATGCCACAGGAATCAGACATACGACAGTCGCGCACATCTCCGGTTCCTCCATCTCGACCATTACCGCCACCACCCACAACGAATTACGCACCGAACCGATGCAGTGATGACTTACTTCTGAATGGCGCCGTAGACCTAGCCACCACACTATATGCACGGCAAGGTAGCAAAAGTGAATTGAACCTAAGATCGTTGTCGAGAGACTTGCCGGTTGCTGGACGACCAGGAACAAGTTTTAGACAATCAGCGAGCGATAGGCAGCAGCGAGCACACACGCTGATACTACCGCGCGAGTACGACTGCGAACAACAGCAGCAGCAACAGCGGCAATATAAGCAGCAATACCAGCAGCATTATCGTTATCAACCACAACAGCAGCAGCAGCAGCAGCAGCAACAACAACAACAACAGCAACAACAACAACAACAACAACAACAACAACAACAGCAGCAGCAGCAGCAGCAGCAACAACAGCTACAACAACAACAACAACAACAACAACAACAACAGCAGCAGCAGCAGCAGCAGCAGCAACAACAACAACAACAACAACAGCAACAACAACAACAACAACAACAACAACAACAACAACAACAACAACAACAACAGCGAGACCAACAGCAACGAGACCAATCGTTACATGGACCGAGCTTATGGGCACGCTTACGAGACACCATCATGACTGAAAGACCTGGAAGTGTTGTAGTTACTGCAAATAACAGTTTGAGTATTTGTAATGGTAAGATTGAATTTGTTCAAATGTTGAAGACTTAGGATGATACTTTCGTTTTTACGCATTGTCGGACAATTATCTTAGGCTATGACGAGTCGGTACCCGAAACGCCGCCGCCACCATACTCACCGCCGGAGCCACGTAAGTAAAACGTTGTCTTTCTATAACATTACTGGTTTCGCATTTCTTTCAATCACATCTTAACCTTCGCGAAACGCCTTCTCGTTCCTCAAGTCCCTCGGCGCCGCCGTGCCTCCACAAGCTTTTTCGTGAAACAGAAAACGGCTACAGAACTTCGCGAAGAACTAAGCAAACTTGTTGATGACGCTAAACGAGAACAAGACTCGTGGAAAATGGAAGAAGCTCGACTGAAAATGAAAATGGGTACAAAGCCCGAAGAGATTGAACGTGTCCGTAGAAAACAAAGAGCATCTGCGGAAAAGTATACTAGAAAGATCGAGGCAATTAATATTAAACTAAGTATTGCACTCGCTATAGAACAAGTATAGCGAAGTCGTAGAACGTGAGAGGGATTGTTGACGTGTGTAGATAAATAGATAAGAGCGGTTAAGATGATTTGTTATGTTTTTTGACTCCCATAGAAAACAATAGGGTGCCTTTACAGCATGGAGGCATATCAAGACATTTGGAAAAAAAAATTGAAATCAGAGAGCGGCTCCTTACTGTTCCGAGATTTTCAATCTTGCCTATTTCCCCTTATTCTTTGCAACCCCCCCCCCCCCTGTATATATAAACTTGACTTTCTGACGAATCGTCTTTTTAATGAAAAATTTGGCTTCTTATTCTTTATATAACGGACTATAAGGTTGTTTGCATAGACACATTGGAGGACGTTGAATTTGATCTTTCGAACTTATTATTGTTTAGAGCTTCATTGATTTCTTCAAATGATGCGAAGTGCCGTTGTAATAGTATTTTAATATCTTCAAAAACTATCATTTGAAGGAACAGGTGATTGACAAATTAAAGAGATTGTTACATGAATAATTGACTTTTACAGTTGAATGCAAGTGTTGTTGCTCAGTTTTTAATTCACCTTTTTCAGCGTATTCAACGTCCTTTAGATATACTTTTTGCAAAAAATCAACCATAGCTCCAGTACTAACAGCACATTCTTCCACAGGAAGTGTATCATAATACGAATGGTCGATTTCGAATGGATTAGTTGGCGGTGGTGAAAGCGATAAAGTTATGATTTCGGCCATTATGTTCCATAATATGATGTCTACATACACCAGGACACGAGCGTATCTGTTAGCTAATTGATTCTTGACATCGAAAATGAACCATCTCTTGATACCTTGCGTTTTCCATGCAGCTATCGTATCGAGTTTAAGTGGACTATCGGTTTCAAGTTGTTGGTTATCTTGTATTTGAATTAGACTTTTATGGTTTGAACGAAGCTACAAGCACACATCAAAATTAAACAGATATTGAACATTTGACAAAAACTATCATCAGAATGAGAAACTTACCCAAACGTAAGGACACTTATATCGGGCATAGCCAGCAATCAGGAAAACTGTTTTAGACTCATCCTTCCAGATGGTCGTTCAGGACGACATATGTTAGAAGTTTATATTTACCTCGAGATTGACAAAAGTAACTTGGAAGTTACCTTTTCCAAATCCTTGTCCAATGGGCTAGGAAGTGACAAGGCACCATTTTCATTTGCGTATATGCCATTGTTTAAGCTAGTAGTAGGCAACGCCCGAAACAGTTGTAATAATCATTATTTGAATTTATGTCAACTTGTGAACGTCTCGTACGTTACTTACAATTGCCGCGTCCTCGGAGAGAATAATGCCTTGCTCCTAAGACAATATAACAGAACGTCAAATGTGAGGCTGACGCAAATCAAATCCAAGAGGCCTCTTTGAAAAACCTTACTGCAACTTCGCCAACGATAAGGAATTGTAATTTCTCCGACTTGTCTCACATGCTGGAATAGTGGGCTTACCAACATTGTATATACGAAGTAAGAGTTCTTCGCGTCCCCTCAAGTACAACTCAAAATGTTTGAAACCCTGCGCGATGGTGAGCAAAGCCTTAGCCACACAGTACATCTTCCTCGGAGCAATTGGCTTTAATTAATTAATACCTTTAAGCTACCAACAGACAGGCAGTCCGCGAGGAAGGCATTCAGACGTGCCGTTTCTGATGTTGTTGGATGGTCAGCGGACATTCTGGTTGAATTATTAGGCAATTCCGAGAATACAAGTGAAGACGAACCCTTGCTTAGCGGTTTTATATGTATCAGCAGTCATGACGTTTTGATCCAATTTAAAAAATGATTTGTGATTGATATGGTTTAGCAGACTATCATTTATAAGCGAACATCTGACGTCATGTGCACTTTTTAGGACGATGTAATAGCAGTTCTGTTGGTAATATTAATATTGCCATAGCTTAGATGATTTAATATTAAAGATTCACTGTCAACCATAATCAATACTTTTCATGTCATTTCATATCATAGGAGATTAGAACTGGGACAAATTTACATTCATTGTAATGTAGTAGTCTTATTTACAGTCGTCATAATTATCTGTGAGAGTTGCTTTTGTATTATTAACGTCGCGAATTAACAACAGAGGTGCAAATACTTTGTGCAAATTTGAGACATGATTTTTTTGGATAGAAGCTTTTTTATCCATACCAGGTACAAATTATTCTAACTACTCCTCGGCGCCTTGCGAGGAGCTACATATCTTGAACGCTGAACTAAGCGAAATTTAATAGTCTCTACGTTCATTGGGTTATGCTTCCCTGTATCTTAGAAGGAATACGTAATAACAGCTTGTATCGTCCATAATACCAAAAAGTCTATTTGTCATTCATGTGGCATTAGTTAAGCAGCTCACAAAAAAAATTAAGTTACGTACTGGCGATTTTGTAAGTATATAATTTAATTTTTTTATAACGACAACAGCAACAACAGCAACAACAAAGAAGAAGGAGAAAGAAACACGAATAAATCAATAGGGCTTTTATTCATAGAATAAATAATACGGCTGGTTTTTTTTGACCCTTCGTCTAGATTTGTATAATATCACACTTTTATTTTAGTCACAAATGAGAAAGACTATCAATGCCTCACGTTATCATTATTAAGGTAATGTTATTATTATAGTGGAGTTTGTTATAAAAACTTTGTCATAGTATTATTAAGTTGTGAATTTTTATCATGATTTACAAATAAAAACTAACTATTATAATTATGAATTAGAATCATTAATTTCTAAAAGAATGGGAACTTGTTTTGTTTCAAAAGACGGGAGCAAATCGTGAATTAACCATAACTGAATGCTCATAAGTTATTAGTTATTGGTCTTTTTAAGGGTGGTCAGACATTCTTGGGTTTAAGTTGATATTGTAAAAAAACTATCCACCTTGGAAATGCCAGTAAGTAAAAAAAGAAGTGGTCAGCCTAAATTACTTTGGTGAGAGTGAAAAGAAAGTTTTGAAGGAGATTGTTACCAATGATAATCCTTCTATTTATCAACTGGCTTAAACATTTCAACTAAGACAATTTGTCGAAACTTACACAGACTTGGATTCAATTCTAATTCTTAATGATAAACAACACCAAATCAACGTGAATGGTGCATGAATCAAAGAAATTGGTCTAACAAATGTGGATATCTGGATCGCTTTACTCTTTTTCGTAATGATGGTCCAATTAGAGTTTGGGTTAAAACTGGAACTCGCTACAATATTGACTACAGTAAAGCGTGGTGGGTTGGAATCATGGTTTGGGGTACTTTCAGCATTGGGGCTAGGACCATTAGTTAGGGTAGAAGGAAAGATGAATTATAGAGACTATGTTACAATTCTGGACAATTTGTTTGCCGAAAATTATCCTACAAATTATTACAAGTTTCAGAATGATAATTGTCCACACTGCAAAGAATGTAAAAAAATGGTTGTCTGAGAAGAAGATTATTCTTCTTGAAGATTGGCGTTCTCAGTCACCAGACCTTGACCCTATCAAGCACCTGTGGGTGAACTTGATCGAAGATAAAAAAATCGTCTTGAACATCAAAAAAAATTCGAAAACACGAATGGGAACAGATTCCACATGAAAATATCTGAAGCTAGTTGATAGTACGTCTCAAAGGATAGAAGAATGTATTGCTAACGATGGTTGACCAACTAGATATTAAAATAGTAAAAAATAAAAATTTATCAGAAATCGGTCATCAGTTTAATAATTTAATGACAAATTTGTTTTAATTTTACTATATAAAATTTCACGGAATATAAATATGATACTAATAACAAACATTATTGAGAACTAGAGCTTTCAATAATATATAAATTGCAAAGTAATTTTGAGGACAAACTTTTGTCCAGTGAGTGATTTACTGTATCTCACTTATTCTGTCAGATTAAGATGTGTCAATCGTATTAATTTGTCAGGTAGTATGGAGGTTTAGCAGTAAAGTTGGTATTGTAATGGACGAAATTGCGCGATCCTTCAATTTCAGTACTAGTACTGCCTCCGAATAGGATATATATACCACGATTCGAGTGGTCCAAAGTTTTTATAATTTGAAATGTTACAGAATTATTCGGAATTTTACAAAATAGACACGTCTAGCGCGTTATATACGCTACAATTTACAACTTCCGCAAAACTTACGTTTTTAGCCAAGATTTAACGTATTTAGCACGTGTAGTACCTCTTCAAAAGAAAAAGCACGTCTGATTCTATTTATATTACAGTTTGAAACAATGGCATCTGGAATGCCATAAAAATGTATTTCACTCAGCAACACAGACAATTGTAAAAAGAAATGTAGATAAGTATAATACCCTGAAATTTGAAGATTCATAAAGGAGAACTAGCAGAACATTTCAAACAATATTGTAACTAATCTCGTAAACTTAATACCGAGAAGCAACGAGGAAAGAATTGATTGTTAATTTATTTATTAATAAAATCTGTTTCAACTTTCGAACATGCTAATTTTTATTCCGGATAATTTTGTAACACATAGTATATTATGTGATAGCAACGACTATTGATTGTTATTTTAAGCTGTAATGTTGAGTCTTGCCTGTTGCCAGTAGAGTGAAAGTAACAACCATTGGCATAGTAATAGAAGAATATTAATCACTAATCTGAATGTGCTGTGCCTATTAGTCGATTTAGCATTCCGAAGTGACAAAGATAACCATGCGAGAGACCTAACTATATTTTCACCGTCTTTTTTTTCACATTTTAATGTTATGCTATTAATTCCTCCACTTGTCCCAAAATATCTCCTACTACCGGTTTCTCATCCGACATTAGTCACGGGACTCGCATGATTACCAATTAGGTATAGTATTGTCAATCACATGTTTTTGATTCCAGCCACAGTTGTAATATTAAGCTTCGTTCACTATTACATTTCAACGACATCTACTCTCTTAATCCTTCTCACATATAATGTTACGAACGGATACGTCCACCCAACATACAAATGCCCATACGTCCGCGTCTGCCATGGCTTCCACATTCCCTCGAAATACTACTGGGCTACCTACAGCTTCCCCAATGTCGTCAGCTTCGACACCATTATCTCCGCAACAGTTGTCGTCGTTGAAGTATCAGATCGTTGCTTATAGACTGATCTCGAAGAATATGTCAGTTCCTCCTCATTTACAGCAGGCAATGTTTGGTCCCGGGGCTGTAATGAGCAATTTATCAGCTCAAGAAGCTGCGGCTGCCACACTACCAGCAAAATTGGTTGAAGGAGCGTATACGCATCATAGTCAATCTACTGGTGCTGGTAGTACTGGGACTGTGTCGGTTGCGAGTGACCAATCTGCGCAACAACATTCTTCACTTTCCCCCCCATTATACAATGCGTATATTGATCCGTACACATATCTGAAAAAACCCTTTAGCCAGTCAGCAGGCTCTCGTTTCCAGCGCCTATTGATCCCTAGTATAACGCCTCCTGGACTAGATCCAATTGATTTACTCATGGAAAAAGAGAGAGAAATGGAGGCGAGAAGGGAGCAGAGAATACGGCAATTAGAGAATAAGTTGGCTAGTTTGTCTAATGATGCTTTGAGGATGGGTAATGGGAGCGAAAAGGAGAATAATAGCGCTTCTATAGCTAGTCCTAAGATTAAGGCTTTGATAGAAGTAAAGAGTTTAAAATTGCTGCCGAAAAGGAATAAGGTCAGTGAAGGAAGGAAAGCATTTATTTGATAAAATTATTATGGAATGTCAATTATTTATTGATAACGTAGACATAATATTACGTCATAATTGTGATATTGGCCATATCCAATACTGTCAATTATTAACTGTCTCGCTTATAGCTCCGCCAAGAATTCATTAAGGGCAACACCAAAGCAGCTACCCTCGCGACATCAAATAATCGCGCAGATTTTCGTCGCATGAAGAAACCATCTCTACGGGATGCTCGCAAAACCGAGAAATTGGAACGTCAGCAGCGTGTTGATCGGGAACGTCGCGAGAAGCAAAAGCATCTTGATTATCTCCAATCAATCTGCGCACACGGCCGAGATCTAATACAATGGCATCGCACAAACCAGGCGAAACAGTCAAAAATCGGTCGTGCTGTTCTAAACTATCATTCTCAAATTGAAAAAGAAGAACAGAAAAAAGAAGCACAGAAAGCAAAGGATAGGTTGAAGGCATTGAGAAATGACGATGAGGAAGCATATTTGAAATTGATCGATCAGGTGAAAGACACTAGAATTACGCATTTGTTGAAACAGACGGATGCATATTTGGGTAGTTTGGCCCAGGCAGTTTTGGCGCAACAGAACGTCGACTTGCATAATGATCCGACCATGAAAGGTGGGGTTGAATTGATGGATGAGCAAGACAATACAGACGTTGAGGTACGTTATTGATAATTTGGCTTTAAACAAGTGTACTTCACAATTATCTAATGCTTATTATTATTGCGTGCTATATTTTATTCGCTAGATTGATGGGAAGAAGCTCGATTATTTTGCTGTTGCTCATAGAATTAAAGAAGAAGTCGAACAACCTGCTCTACTAGAGGGCGGTACTTTGAAAGAATACCAGGTTAATGCACAAGTTCCTAGGGTCATATCTATCATTATATATTATGCTTACCTATTTTCTTATACATTAAGGTTAAAGGGTTGCAATGGATGGTATCTCTGTATAACAATCGTCTTAATGGGATTTTAGCCGACGAAATGGGTCTCGGAAAGACAATACAGACTATTTCATTGGTAACATATCTCGTTGAGCGCAAGAAGCAGAATGGTCCATTCTTGATTGTTGTTCCTTTGTCGTATGTACAGTCTGTTAAATACTCTGTTTTTGCTGGCTTTGGTTATCGGCTTCTCAATTTACTTGTTTTTGATCTTTATTACAATAGTACACTAACGAACTGGACTATGGAGTTTGAAAAATGGGCCCCTCAAATTAGCAAATGTGTCTACAAAGGTCCACCCAACGTTCGTAAAGAACTCCAACACACCTTCATTAAACACATCAATTTTCAAGTTCTTCTGACCACCTACGAGTATATTATCAAAGACAAACCCGTTTTGAGTAGAATCAGATGGGTGTATATGATTATTGACGAAGGTCATAGAATGAAGAATGTGAATTCAAAATTGTCAACCATATTGACCAATTCGTATCAATCAAGATATCGTTTGATTTTGACTGGTACACCCTTGCAGGTATGAATGTAGTCATTGTAGAAGCTTTAGTGTGGTTGCAGACCATAACAATATTATTGTTTTGTCAATTAGAATAACCTTCCAGAGCTATGGTCCCTTTTGAATTTCGTTCTTCCAAGAATCTTTGATTCAGTAAAAAGCTTCGATGAATGGTTTAATACACCTTTTGCTAACACTGGTGGGCAGGACAAAATAGCGCTTAACGAAGAAGAGGCATTGCTTATAATTAGGCGTCTACATAAAGTATGTTAATCTACCAAATGATTGCATTAATACAATTGGGCCTACATTTATATATTTCTAAATAATTTATCTGTTAAACAGGTATTACGCCCCTTCCTTCTGCGACGTCTCAAGAAAGATGTCGAATCCGAGTTACCGGAAAAAGTCGAAAAAGTCTTGAAATGCCGGTTTTCAGCCTTACAGAATCGACTTTATAGTCAAATGAAGAAGCATGGGATGCTTTTTGTCAGTACTGGCGAAAAAGGGTATGTTTTTATGACTCGCCGAGAAATGTGGCATATCATTTCTGCGTTCCTTAGTTAACCAATGATCCATTCGTTCCATCACAGCAAAACTGGTATCAAAGGCTTAAATAATACTATCATGCAACTTCGTAAAATATGTAACCATCCATTTGTGTTCGAGGATGTCGAAAAAGACATCAATCCGTCAAAAACAAGCAATAGTCTTCTTTACCGTGTCTCTGGGAAATTCGAACTGCTGGATAGGGTTCTTCCTAAGTTCTATAGAACAAGACATAGGGTATGTATCTATTGATCAATTATATATTCCATGTTATTTCCTTGCATTGATTATTTTCCTTTACAGGTGTTGATTTTTTTCCAAATGACGGCTATTATGAATATTATGGAGGATTTTCTTCATTATCGTCGATACAAATATCTTCGATTAGATGGTTCAACGAAGGTCATATATTAGACGCGACTGCTCTAAATGTATTTCATTCCGCGATTGCAGCAAGTATTGAACTTATTTCTCTACGCAGGCCGAAGATCGCTCTACCTTGCTTAGACTATTCAATGCAGAAGACTCTGACTACTTTGTATTCTTGTTAAGTACTCGAGCCGGTGGCTTGGGATTGAACTTGCAGTCTGCAGATACTGTGATAATTTTCGACTCTGATTGGTGAGTACTACTAGGAATCTATTTGAGACGGTACTGATAATCATAAATAGTTATCTCGATTTGATTATCGGTATGTTCGATCTTTCAATAAAACGTTTATGTTTCGCTATAAATAGGAACCCTCATCAGGATCTTCAAGCCCAAGACCGTGCTCATCGCATTGGTCAAACGAGAGAAGTTCGCATTTTGCGACTGATTTCACAAAAGTCGATAGAAGAAAATATTTTGGCTAGAGCACAGTATAAACTAGATATTGACGGGAAAGTAATTCAAGCTGGGAAATTTGACCAAAAGAGTACAGCAGAAGAGCGAGAGGCATTTTTGGTATGTTGAGTAAGCTCCTATCGTTGCTCAACGCTATATCTGCAGACGTTATAAATAATGGATGATTCCCTCGAGCGTTCATACCAATTAACTACCATTTGTTTTCTTCTTACTTCAGCGAACATTATTAGAAGGTGACAACGACGAAACAAATGATGTCGATGACGACGAGATCCTCGATGATGAAGATCTAAATCTTATTATCTCGCGCAACGACGAAGAACTTGCACTGTTTAAACAAATTGATCAGGAACGCAAACGTGAGGAAGAGGCTGAATGGCGACGACGAGGAGGTCGCGGAAAGTGTCCAGAAAGATTGATACAAGATGAGGAATTGCCCGAAATGTATCGGAAAGATGAGGACATATTATTTAGCCAGAGCCAAGATTCCATGGAATACGGTCGAGGGCAGCGCGCTAGGGGTGAAATTCGATATGATGATGGTTTGACCGAAGAACAATGGTTAAATGTAAGTCATGAATAACTTGTTAACTATAATCTTGCAACCGTTGATTACAGATTATTTTTACTCTAATATTCTGATCACCATCTAATCTACATAGGCCATTGAAGACGAAGAAGTTGACGTCGCGGAGGTGATAGCCAAGAAACAAGAGGCAAAGAGACGACGAGAAGCAAAAAAACGTCTCAAGGCAGAGAAAGCTAATCATAATGATATGCATCCAATGGAAGACGTGACTGACATATCAGAATTTAAGAAGAAACGTGGTAGACCACGGAAAGAGGATTATCCCCTTGACGACGCTAGTGCAATTGATACGGGTAAAGCGAAAAAGAAAAAGAAAGGGAAACAAATAGAACGTGATGACGACGACGAATTACCTAGGGTGAGTAGCGAAAATGATAAAGGGTTAATCAAAGGAAAATTCCATGTCTCTGATGTATGCAATTTTTGTGAATAGAAAAAACGGAAAATCAAGAGTGACGTGGTTGATACCGTTCCCGAGAATGTTCGTAAACAAATGACACAGATATTCACGCAATGTTATGACCTGGTTACTAATTGTATGGATGAGTCTGAAGGGTAAGTAATAATTAAGATAATAGACCACTATATACGTCTTACGTGTACTTACAATCGATATCGTTTCTCTCCTTTTTTTACGCAGCGAGCCTCGCCAACGGGCTTATCTATTTATTGAGCTACCTAGCAAGAAGGTGTACCCTCAATACTATGTTATGATAGCCAAACCAATAGCGTTGGATATTATAAAAAAGAAAATAAAGAACAGAAGCTATCGAAATATGAAACAGTTTAAGGAAGATTTCCATCTGATGTTTGAGAATGCAAAGACATTCAACGAAGAAGGGTCTCAAGTGTACATGGATGCATGCGAGTTGATGGTAAGAACACGTAATTGATGTTCATTGTCAAGAGGGAGATACTAATTTAAATTACATTAAATTACAGAGAGTATTTGACGAGAAATTCGAAGAACTCTGTCCTAATGGCGAATTGCCGTCCTTAGAGGATGACGACGAAGTCCAGGAGACAACAAACTAGAGCCAATAGAACATTGATTAATATTGTTTAGTGTATTGCCATGATATATTGAGTCGATCGAGACTACATCGGATGAAATTATGAAATGATAGACTAGTTAGTTATTACGTATGTAGACCGTGATATCGTCAAATAAAGCAGAGACAATTCATACAGTAACATAAATTATTTGATACTCTAATTGACATTTGCGTTTGCATCTAGCAAAGTAATCAGAAGAACGCTATAGCAAGAGTATCAATTTTTATTTAAAACGATTATTATTATCCATCGATTGCTATTAAAATATACACAGTGTCAAATACACATAGAATACAAGCCCTGAACAAGCTTCCCCTAGGGAATAAATAATAAATAAATAATATTTGTATGTATATATACGTATCTAAAACCCTATACCAAATATTTAGCCATCTTTTCAATTCTTCCCTTTCTTATCTTTCTTTTTCTTTTTCTTTTTCTTTTTCTTTTTGTCCTTTTTCTTTTCCTCTTGATTTTCCTCCATGTGGTAATCATACCCATATGAATTCTGTTCAGTATGGGCAGTGTTAGCTACTATATCCACGTTACTGGGAACATTATACCCATCATATATATCCTGGGCCGTCTCAAGATCATGTTTTCTCCGTCTCCTCACATGATAATTCCGTGCAATTTGTATAATTTGCCAGATAATTCTCCCCACCAAAAAAATTATAGCAACAGAAAGTGAGATACCCAAAGTCAATAGCTTGTGATCAGTTTCTTTTCCAGTCCTCTGCCGTAATCCTCCCAAATTAGATACGAATGCAAACCCGAGCCAACAAATATATAACAAACATATCATGTCGGAGGTTACACCTAAACGATCTACTTGGCTCTGGGATAGATGGTGACGACCAATGAGAAGATAGGCTTCTTTCTTGGCGAGAAGAACACCCAAGCCCTCAATTAAACTGAGAGAATGGTTGGTGTATTTATTTATCTGGTAAATGTTCACCAAACGAGGAAGTAACTCGAAAGCCGTTATTAAAAGAAAAGCCGAACGAGCTAGCATTTGGCCGTTTCCGCCCAACTATAATATGATATAATAAAGGAAATGATTAAAATTAATACGTAGACGAAAAGGAAGGAGGTTTGGATAAACACATCCATTACAATTATTTGTTACGGATAGATCAATGGATGCTAACAACTCACCTCACTATAATAAAATTTGATCAGAAGAATACTTGCTATCAAGGTATACATGTTCAAGAAAGCAAACCCGAGCCAGACCAGTTTTGACCATGATGATGGGTTGAACATAGGCGAAGGATCTTCATGTATTTTTGGCCGATCTATGGGACCACTCTTTATAGGCTGCAACGATGGCTTAATGGTAAAGTTTTCGGGTTTTTCTGTTAAGGCTATTTCAGATTCACTGATATTCGTTTGTAATTCATGTACACTATGTATCGGCGTGTGTATTGGGCTGTGCACCGGGCTAAAGCCACTTGCTTGCTGTGCATGTATTTGCTGTGTGTGTGCTTGCTGTGTATGTGCCTGTTGTGTATGCTGTGTATGCGCTTGGTGTGTATGCGGAGTTTGGTAGCTCTCTATACCATCGGCAATGTATGTGTTGTGTGAAGGTTGAGGTAGAGTTAGAGGATGAGGTGTTGAATGTGGTGATTGAAACTGGTGTGCAGTTGGAATATTAACGTTATAAGTTTGGGCATACGGGTAATTTGCCGAATAGTCATCTGGCTGCCCATAGTGGTAGTGGCTTCCCGCTGGTTCCATAGGAAGGTGTGAAAGGTAAATGGCGGGAGGCAGGCAACAAAAGAATGTGCGTAGGGGCAAAGGGGACAAGTTGTAGCATCCTCTGACACGCCAAGAAAATGTTAAAGATTGCATGATCCAGTGTAACTTATATGAATTAAACCATAACCAATCATCAGCAATATTATAAATAGATGTCTTGTAAATCCACATCTCCTTTAAAGGGGAGGAATCTTCTTCAACAATTAATTACTTTGAATAAAGAAACATTATTTAACTTATTAAGATATAAGTGAATGGAGGGCAAGACAAAGGTTAACACTCTTTGATGATTGTTGGTTTCTAGACATACATTGTGTTAGGATACAATATTGACAATGTTTCAGAATCAGCCGTATCCTGTCACCACCGGACCGTTTTGATAAACCAGGAAGTTAAACATATTTTAATTTGCACAAATTATAATAATAACAATTTTAAAACAAGAAAATTTTATGAGGTTTTTAACGTTATATGTTTAGTTTCATACTAATACGGTTAAAGGTTAAATTAAAGCAATTAAATGAAGATTGCGAACCGTAGAACAGGTTTTCGGTTGGTCACGTGGACATTAATTGATTAATAATGAAATTAAGAAGAGTGGCAGAAGCATTAATAGAACAATAGATTAAATAGAAAAGATGTTAAAGGCGATAATTATAATATTAATATCTGTGCGCAATATTATCACTGTCCAACTATCTCATATATTACAAGAAAGTTCCATGCAGTTTCCCATTTACTAATTTTTAATAAATATAAAGCTGTTTCATTCTCAAAACAAGAGTATATCTTTTAATTCTGTTAGTCACAACGTCATAATGGATCTTTTGTGGCGCATTTATTAGTGGTCAGAAACAGATTAGATTCATTACAATATTTTATTCTCTATGATATATATATATATATTCTTAACACGTTCAACAACGTCAAGGCATATTTTCTTGCTATGCGATTCCTCGGCAAATTCAAACGAAGTTTTTTCCTTCGTTGTCGTCACATGAATTAATTGCTTGGCAATCAGGTTAAGCCGTAGTACAAGACAGTTTCACTAGACAAACAATAACGCTCCGTCTATTTCTCCCACGTTTTATTCTCGGACCATCTTGTCCTATGATCACATTCTAGTAAAAACCCGTAATGTTTGTTCAGTTTATATGTTCTATTGTGACGTGCGTTCTTCTAATGATATTTACTGACGCTCTATTATATTATGCGAACGTTCTTACTAAGTCATTGGTTTATGAGAAAAATTAGTTTGTGATATCAATACAGATTAACTGCCATGTTTTCTGGAATATGTCGTCCTTTAATAAGAATATGAATTAGCGGTCTTCGGAAAGCATAACTTTGTAGTTACTCACGCTTATGTATATCAAAGTCATTCTTTATGTCTCACGATGGCTTTCAATTCCCGTCGGAATGTAACAAGACACGGATTAATCGTCTTATTTGCTTTACTCCTCTGTCTTCGAGTCGGGGATTCTGAGACTACTCCGCTCAGATGTCGGCGTGCGCGTGGATAATCAATTGTTTCAGGCCAATAATATTGAAAATTTGATTCTGTGGTATGATCCTGCGAGTGTGAGCCTAAACAATGAAACTGTGGTGGGCTCCAAGTTCTCTGTTGTGTTTCATTCAATGAGACTTGCCTTAGTACCTTATATTTATGATAAAACTGATCTTGAATGTCATCTTCAATAATAATAACGACTCAAACTTGCTTTTTATCCTCTGTAACGTCAATCTTTCTAGATTCAGTTAGTTCATTGCGATGTGACTTTCATACAACTACACTCACTACCAAAAAGTATTGGCCGAAATTTGTCGATCAATAGTAAAACATATGAAAAATCCAATTTTTCAAAA